ATATATATATATATATATCAAGTGGAGTTTAAATTGATTTTGAGTTAGAATTAATAATATTTATATTTAACACCTTTGCATTTCCAAGACTAATATCATCATATATAGATTCTCTAATAAATAAATAAATAAAAGATAAGATAAGATAATTGTAGACTTTTTTGCGTAATAAGCGCTATTAATTGCCTGGAAATCGAGGTTTCATATCATCAATAGTTAAATTTTTTCAATTTATTATTTTTTTTCTATTACAATTAAAGATACTCTAAGAATGGACACCAACATTAAACATAAATTTTATTTTAAAAAAGTTATCAATGATCATCTACGGCAATAACTCTAAAATTTCTCCGTTATCACTTCCCTTTCAAGTCCTTTTTTTTTTTCCTTTTCCTAATCATCAACCACTGCAGGTTCCTTTCCTTTCATTTGTTTATTTTTTCCTTATTTGAAAATTTTAGACAATAGGGTCAGGGTGATATTGAGTTCTTTATTGTCATGATGTTGATGGTTGTCTTGCTTTTGGTTCAAGGGAATTCAGTTTTTTTCATATTCCTCTTCATGCATGATCATCATCATCATCATCTGGGGTTTTGAAGAAAATTCTGAGTCTTTTTGTTATCTGACACCAACACCAATTTGGATTTAAAAGACTGTATCGTTCCTGGAACCACTCTTTTATTCAGGTTTCAAAGATTCTTTGATGTGTAGTAAAAAGCAAGCTTCTGATCAAATGATTTTTAGAGATGGGGATTAGAAAGTTGTTATTATTCAAGCACAAAATAATATAAGTTTTTTAAGTTTTAAATTTAAAGAATTTTTATTTAAAAAAACATACTAAAAAATAATATGATGAATTATATATTAAAATTTCACATAATAACTTAATAAAATTATTAAGTTAGTAATGATTTTCTAACACGTGCAACATTCATGACTCACCCATTTCATCAATCAATGGACTTTCAGCGGAAGAATTTTGATAAGAAATTCAATTAAATTAATAATTTTTTACAATTTATAGTGAGATGACCTCTAGACAATCTGCCTGGTAGACGTCTAAATCAAAGACTTTATGAGGTGGTTTGTTACGTGGTCATCACGATATGCGTTTGAACCTACCCAAATGAGATAGATTAATTAATTAATTATGGAACGTATACAATAAAATGATGAATTATTAGAGGCATAAAAGAGCCTTCATGTGTCGAACAGATGGAACGTATAAAATAAAATGATGAATTATTAGAAGCATAAAAGAGCCTTCATGTGTCGAACAGGGTAGATGAGATTTTGATATAGTAATGAGAGAGAGGGGCATCTATGTTTAGCTTAGTTTTGACACTAATTATCAAAAGCTCATTATATAGTAATTAGATCAACACTCTAATTAAATTTTAAAATTATAATAATTATTATTTTTATTTTTATATATTTAAATTGAATTATTTTAGAACACGCATATGAAGTTTGATTTTCAACTTAGAATATCATAAGAATTTTTTTTCTTAACGGGACATTAACATTATTCAAAGGAGTATAAATTTATATTTGGAGGGAAGAAAAAAAAAGAGGAAAGAATATAACAGTCTTTTAGTTACATTATTATATATAATGAAGAATTAATTAAATTGCATACTAGATAGATATTATAGTTATACAATTTAATCTGATTTGGTAGATTAGCTAGATAACCTGTTAACTTGAAATCTTGTCCAAACAAGTTTTATTTTAAATGGGATACTTTTATCAATAATATTGTTTAAGATTTCATTTTAAAAAACATTTTGGTTAAAGAAAATTAAATTGATTTATCTGTCTAAAAATTGACTCAACCAGCATGTAATCAGAACCTTGGACCAAGTCTTATAGCTATAGCCATTATCACGGGATCCATGTAAATACAACACCACTCAATAAACTAATGGTACGTTAAGTTAAACAAATGCAATGAGAATCTTGGTTGTTATCACGTGCTCCATATAAAAACAACACCTCTCAATAAGGTAACTAATGCTATGTTACGTTATGCGAAAACAACAAGCAGCCCTTATTAATTGCTTGAATTTTAAGAAATTTGTAGTTATCAACTACGTACATTAGGCTCTTGTTGGTAATTAAGTTGATATTAATATGTTAACCACTAGGAGGTTTAACATTAAAGAGTGTGTTTGGCTTGGAGATGTGGTGATTTTTTGTCAAAGATACGATACTTTTTAAACACAAATCATATCTTTAAAAACTATAAAAACATATTTTTTTTAAAAAAAAAAAAAAACTACTTCTTATTCAAACATCCTCTAATTACTGCAAGGATCAAACTAGCTAGCTGATTTTATTTGTTGGGTTTTAATCTTGCGGAGTTTTCTCAGCTTTCTGATCATAAGAGAAACTAGCTAGCTCGGATAGTAAATCAAAAGATTAGCAAAATTAAACCTGAATATGGCTATTGAATTAATAAAGAAACCTCTGACTTCTAGCAAGAAACATGGTGATGGTATTGATTAGTGTACTTACAGCAAACCCGTAACAGAAAGAGCCGCAGACGGCAATGAAGGTGCTAAGCACAAGAATGGGAGTGATGGAGGAGTCATGACCTCTTTCTTCGTTGCAGTTGCCATTATCATTCACATTAGGATTTCCATCTTCAAGAAGTAAAGACCTTGTAGATTCTGGCATCCCTGCTTCGATCAATGACTCTCTCTACTTTTTATACTTTCTTTGAAAGTGAAAAGATACAGACAGAGAAAATTGGTGCTGGAAATAATGATAAGTTTTTCAGAGTACTCCATGCTCTATATAGAACAAAGGATCAAATCTTTCAAGTCACTGTTGAAAGTTCAAAATTAATACTATATTATTTTTTTCAATAGAATATTAAACCATTAAGTTAATGTTTTAAGATAAAAATAACATATATAAAAAAATATTTAGTTAAAGAAACATATATAAAAATACAAAACAAATATATTTTTGAGTGAATTTCTGTCTTTTTAAAATATAATAGACATAAAATATGTTCGTTTTATTTTCATTATTTATGTTTTGAGAGAGTAACGAAATAATATTAATGTATAATTTCGTATAATTGTTCCACTGTGTCAAATCTCAACTAATCCCTTTTCATGATTCATGATTCAAAAGTTTAGATTCTAATCCAGGATGACTTTGCTTCCAACCTCCGCGCTCCATGGAAATTGGAGTCGAGAATACTCTTAAGTACTATTAAAGAAAAAAAATTGAAATTATATCTTACTATCTAATTAAGAGTAATATCAGCAACCACATCAACAAGAATAATATCACCACCCCCTGATTGATGACATATTATATTTTATATTAAGTCTCAATTCTTAGTTGATGTCACATTTTGATTTTTTTATTTTTTATTTAATAATCACATGACTTTAGGTAAAGGGTGATGTTGCTTCCTAACAGCCACTAATATAAAAAAATAAAATACCTAATCTATATATTTCGTTGAAAATAGATACATAGCATCTTGATTTTATTTGGAGGAGTATGTAGAGAAATAGAAGTCTCAAGGGAGAAATTATATATTAAAAACCATTCAATCAAACAATTCAAATTGCTAAATAAATCTCCGAAAAGGTTTATATTATATTATCTCATACATCCCGTCCTTAAAAATCTACTACTACACTACAACTAAGTAACTTTTTATTTAACCGTGGAAATGTCGATCCCTCATCCATACATTGTTTCTTAGATTCAGACTTTACTCGCACGCCCGATTTCTCATTGCTGACTAAAAACCAAGACTTAAAAAGGTGTTTAATCTTCTAAAATAGGGGCTTGGATTTAATTTATTGAACCAAGGATCACCTAAGAGTGAAAACGATGTCACCTGTGTTTCTTCCATGGCAACATCTTTTTTTTTAATTTATCGAAGGAAAACAAAGCAGTTATTTTTTAAATAATTGTTTATATTAAAATACATATTAATAATATTTTTTATTTTTTAAAAATTATTTTTGACATCAGCACATCAAAACAATCCAAAATATAAAAAAACATATTAAATTTTAATAAAAAATTTTAAATTTTTTGAAACGCGGTTTGCACCGTTTGGTCTCGTTTTTGTTAAATATTAGTTAAAATTATAGTATAAGTAGAAGCATATCAATTGTTAAAAATTAAATACGCAAATAATTTTAAACTTTCCTCCTCCTATTCATATATTCAACATTTTTAAAATGAATATATTAATTATGATTACAGGTTCAAACAGATAAAATAAAGTTATGTGTTTCCTCTCAATGTTGGCATAAATAACCACTTTACATGATAAATCCGAAACTTAAGGATAAACCCTATTATAAATGACCGAAACAGACTAATCTAGGGAGAGTGAACTCCCTAGATAATTATAGAGATTCTAATCTATTTTGTACAAGTAACAACAAGGAAAGAAATAAAGAAGGCAGTAATCTTGGAGCCTTAACTGAGCGTCTGCCATTTAGGAAAGAATCACTCCAAAAATGTCAACACTCGCCCCTGGTATATTGATATCATTTATGACTAACTTGTCAAGACATATGTTAAAAGCTTGGTGAGACACTATCTTGGTTAGACACTGTCTTTGTCAGCGCATTAACAAGCTGGTCTTGAGACCGAACATGAAAGATACCAATTATTATTGCTTCCAACTTTTTTTTTAATAAAATACCTATTAACCTCGACATATTTAGTTCTATCATGTTAGATTTGATTATGAACAATATCACATATTACCTTGCTATTACAATATAATTTTATAAGACTTGTCTGCTCAATGTGTAGCTCTTGCATCAGATTCTTGATCCATAATAATTTACATATTGCCTTGGTCATTACTCTATAATTGGCTTTAGCCAACAATCTAACCATCACTTCTTATTTTTTACTTCTTCAAATGATCACATTCCCATCTATAAATGTGAAGTATCCAGATATAAATCGTTGATTCTCTATTGGCCAGTCCAAACAGCAATAGTATAGCCTTAATTTTCAAGTTGCCTCCCTTCTTAAACAAAATTTCTTTTCCTGGAGATAATCTCAAGTAATGCAAGATACTAGTGACAATATTCATATGCTCTTCACTTGAGAAGTGCATAAATTAACTAATCATACTTAGAACATAAGCTACATCAAGAATCTTTAATTACAGTTCTGTTACAATGATCAATTTCTTGAAAAATTTCCACAAGATCACTATAATACATTGACAGAGAAGTGACCCATCTGTTTAGTAAAGAAAGCTTTCTGATTCAATGAAAAAAGTTATGATTCACTTGATTTATATGATTGAAAGCTTTGACTAGAGCATTCTAAATTTAAGGTGCGGTGCGTAGTTGAATATAATGCTTCATAATAACTAGCGACATATCAGTTAACAACCATCCTTTAATCTTTAGATTTTCAGCATATTACTTTGCACTAGAAACATGAGTATCTATCTTAAAGAGGTTGTGTTTTGCTCATAATATATTCAAGCTTCTCACGTACTCCAATAGCATATTCATGACCCGGGACCATAAATACATCTTGTCAAAAAAAAATTGTTTAATGCTTGAAAAAATCCTTTTAGATTTGGATATGTGTTGCACGTGAACTTCCCTGCTAGAGGTCAGCGAAATTTTTTCTATAAGTAACGATTTGTTTGGATGCATAAAACAGAAGGTCCAGTTGATTAGACGTAGAACTTACCGCGGTAGGTAATCCAACTGAACCAGCATCCCTCACCCACCCACCCCCTCAAAAACAAAAAAAAAAAACAAACCACTAGTGTAACAGGAGCCCTAATAGATAATCCATGACTATCAACACATTAATAATTTCTTCATACTTCATCAGTTCATCTCACAGTTGCTTCCCAAATCAATCAAGATTTCTTGATAAGGAGCACAGGTCCTAATCAAAATAAAAATAGGATGTAGTCAAGATCTTGTTTTGGGGCCTTAAATAACAAGGCTCGGAGTCTACAGTTATAGTTTCAGTTTTGGTTTATCTGATACCAAATCTAAACCTGTTGTGTGTGGTACTGTATTATGTTTGTGTTATGTGATGGTAGGACTATCATATTAATTTTTATTTTTTGATATTCAAATTAAATTGTTCAAGTACTATAATGGCATAATTGAAAAAATAGAAGAGCGGAGAAAAAAACCTAAAGAGAAAAAGAGATGAAGAGGCAGCAGAGCAGCTTGTATTTTTCCTTTCATTTCTAGCTCGTTCACTGTTGGATCGGGCTGAGATTTTGACAGTAACTTCTAGACACATTACTCTTCATTTTAAACGGTTTATCAAAAATTAGTGTTGTGAAAGTTGATTATTTTGACAGAAAACAGGGTTGTTACAATTGTGAGTTTTTCTCAAATAATTCTCCTTTAATCTTGTTGTAATCCAAGAATAAGTTTTTCTTGATGATATATATGTTGTATCTCTTAGTTGAATCTGAGAAAAAATAATTGTGAACCCATTATTTGTTGATAGTAGAAGTTTTTAGATGGATTATGGTTCCGTGGTTTTTTCCGCATCGGGTTTTCACGTTAAAATCATGGTGTTGATTTTATGATTATTTGCATTATATCTTATCATTGTTTGATTCTATTTTAGTGCACAAAAAGGAAAAAAAATTGAACTTGTAAATTATAAATTATATTCTACTGAATTGATCCGAGTAAATTGATGTCTAATTGTTCTTAGTTTTTCCAAAAAAAACAACTAGAATAGAATTTACGGAGGACGGCATCACCTCCAGAGCTCCAACACCGGTGTGAACTTTGTAGAATCTAATAATTCTAAACTGGTGTGAACTTTTTACTCGTAGATTATTCATAAAACTTAGTAGACTCGTCTATTGATTAATGAATGAATCAGAGTTGAATTCAAAAACAGTAAGTTGTTTCAACGGATTCCATATTTTCTTTGTAGGCATAAGAATTCTCTCTTTTGGAAGCCATCCTGATCAGGAGCTTTAGATGGATCCTGAAGTTTAACAAGTACAAAGTTCATGAAAAATATACGACGTGTTGTCGTTGAAGTGCCGAGTGAGTAGGATCTCAGATAAATTTTATTATTAGCAACTATGCTGTTAAACTTGGCCTAAAAATGATGATCGATCCACTCTTTCTGTGTCACAAGTTTTGGAATTTATTTATTCTTTTTCTCTTTAAACAAATAAATTCATTGGTTTCATATGATGTTGCTCAATCCATGCAAGAATTAATGACAGCACAGATGTGGCTGATACTAAAATCTATAAATCACATCTGTTGCCTAACTTCAACAAATGATGGTAGGATTTTCTAATAATTTTCATTAAACAACGAAAGCTTGGCATTTCTTTAATGCAAAACATTAGTCACTGATGCCTGTATTTCTTCTAGTGACCTTCCTTTAGTCTCCGGCACCAGCATTACTGTGAATAAAAAACCGAACACAGAAACACCTGCAAATATGATGAACGTTCCTGGAAAAAAAAACAATGGGAAGAAAACAATCATTTGTAGTCATTGAGTTTGAAGCTGACATAAGGATGCAAGAGGAGGAGAAAGAGGAGGAGGCTGTATCACCTGTAGAGCTCCATTCCAATAGAAAGTTGAAGGTGTAAGAAACAACCCAACTAGAGAACCAATATATTAAATTGCAAAGGCTTCCAGCTGATCCCTTCACATTTACTGGGAATATCTGAAATACAGACAATTATTTCACCCAATATGATTTACACAGCTTTTCATCTAGTAAACTTGTTTCTTTGAGTGAATGGAAGATATGGCTAGAGAAAAGTTATGTCTACCTCAGACACTATAATCCATGGTATTCCTGAAATGCCTAGATTGAAAGATATGAAATAAACCTGATAACAAGATCAAACAACAAATGTGATCAGGGAAAAAGTCGAATTCTGGAGCGAACATGAAGTTCTGAACGAAAATAGTCTGATGCATTACCGACACTCCCATGAGTGCTAATGAAGATATCCAATAGTGATGGTCCTGCTTACATGGTCAATTGATGTTGTTATGTCAGGGAAAAAAGGAACAACAGAAAATGAAGCCAAGAAAACCAAATACGAGTAAGTTCTATTAGACAGTGTTGTAGTGGAACCTGCAACGAGAGTGAGAATCCGGTAAGCAAAGAACCCAAACAAGTCCCAGCTGCAGAAACCTGCAACAAGTTTTATCATTCAGTTTTCTCCAGAGTTGACTATAATTTTATTTTCAATGCTCTTATTGTGGACCAAACCATCAAAAGCGTCCGCCTTCCGAATTTGTCAATTAAGAATATAGCCATAGTGGTTGACAGAATCTGCAATAGAAAATGTTTGATTTTTGAAAGATGGAAGCATTCACCAATCTTGCATCAACAATGATGGTTTTCGTGGAAATAACCTTTACGATGGCCAATGTTACATATCCAGGTTTAGATGAAACCCCTGTCATGAAGAAAAGGTAAAGAAAATAAACCACTCTATCAACAGTAAATTACTGTATATCTTTATATACTTCTTTTCTTTTCTTTTTTTGAAGCATTGCAATGATCGCTTACCAGCCAAAACAAAAAGATTAGTCATGTAAAATGTATAGCCAGGTAACCCTGAAAATTGTGTGAGTGCCATCAGCCCAACTGCAACCTATACCATCAATTAATAACTCTTTACGGGTCAATGAATCATGTAGAAGTTGAAATTCACTTGAAAGGTTTCTAGCATGCAGCTCACAATGATTGGTCGAGCATACTTCTTCTGAAACAAGTCCAGAATTTTATTCTCTGAGAGAAGTTGAATAAATTCTGCATATTCCTGTAAAATTTCAAAGATCGCTTATCATTTACAGTAATTAATCTGGAAATGATTACGAAAAGCAAAAGAGTTGAGGTAAGAAGGCATGTTTCTGAAAAATAAATTCTTAGAAGACAAAAAATATGACGCAAACCATTGGATATCAAAAGGAACTATAATTCAATTTCTATATGTCTTGATTATAATTCATAAATTACTTTGATCTCGGCTGCTTCTGGATGTGTCTTGATTATAATTCATACATTAGACTTCAAATTCTGAAATTACTTTGATCTCGGCTGCTTCTGGAGAAATGTCAGCTTTCTTTCCTCTAAGACGCTGCAAAACACCTTCAAACTCCTTTTCACGACCATTCTTTACCTGCATATATAGCTTTGCTCATTGTTAAAATCTCGTTGTAGTGCACATTTATCGACAACACAGAAGTTATTGAACTTACCAGCCATCTGGGGGACTCTGGGATGAAGAATAGACAAAGAATCTGTAGGAGACATGGAATGCTTCCTGATAAATTCAAAATCATAATAAGATTGTCATGGAATTGGCTACGATAATCAGATTATACTCTCCGTATTAAACCAGACTTAAAAACTCGTTTTTCTATGAAATTAACAAAATAATGCTACCTATTAGAGCCAGTCCACGCCATTTTACAACCGAACCAATAAGATATACAATTGCTACTCCAGAACCAGTCATCCACTGTAGAAAAGATGGTAGCAAGGCAAGTACGTGAACAAACACACAAATAGCTATATTATTCCAAGACTTTGAATGGTAAAACGTACCGGATTGAATGTCATAAGTCCTCCTCTAAGATTCTTGGGTGTTATTTCTGCAATAAAAATATTTCCCTGTAGACAATGGAACTTAGACTACCAAGTCCTTTACGTTGTTAATTAAATACAAAATCTCGAAGCATGTACCACATAAGAAGTAAGAGCAATTCCAATTCCTTGCAGTAGTCTTCCAAGGTCAAGCAACCAAGAAACCTATCAGCATGCACTAAACATTTAACACTACAAATCTAGAGCTTAACTCTAAGACATACTAATGATATATTTGTATGCATATGGGTACTAGAGAGCATGGGTATTAATTAAACATAAGCTGTAAAGAAAACGAAGTATGGGAGAGACAAGACCTTAGTGAATGCTATTGCAAGCCACCCTAAGATGAAGAAGACATTGATGATCCACATTGTCTGTTTCACAAGATTCATAAACATTATCAACTCAAGAGTTGAGAAGGAGAGTTGATAAGGAGTCAACAAACTAGAACCTAAAATGTTTTTTTATGTCCAAATGCTGATAAAATCTCACAGTTCTATGGCCAAAGTAATCGGCTGTCTTCCCGCTCATCAATGCACCAACTATTCCTCCAACAGCCAACATGGAGCCAAAAACCGAGTACTGCATGTTATAAATGAAAATGGACGTGATCAAATAACAAGGTCTGCCTTAAATGTTAAATGAGGAAAATCATTCAAAATGGCAGGTTAATTGAGGGAATCAAGTGCAGGTATCTCACCTCTGCCAAAGAGAGGCTCAAATCAGCTAAGACTCCATATTCAGCAGGGGACGAATATCCAATCTGGGAAAGAAATATTAAAAACAGAATTAGCTAGTGTTAAATTTAGAACTCGTGTGCAACCACAATTAAGCTGTTAGATGGACACGGTAAAGTTGATCAATGACTTGGTTAATCCAAGTGATCACAAAATTACCATCTTCAGCTTTCACTAATTTCTGTGGGGGAGAATATAGAACCAATTATAAGTGCAACAGTAAAGGAAAAATATCATTAAAATGTGGTCAAGATTTTTGGTTGCCAGACTTCGATCCTCCTTTTGTGTTCACAGGAAATTAGCGATGGAAAATCTGTGCTGTTTGGAAATGAATTTCCATATATAACCAAGTCTTTCTTTTGTTTTTCTTTTTGATGAATAGCCAAGTGCCTAATGTTTATCAACTCTTGGTGTTGCTAAAAGAGTCTTGCTTTAGCGTAAATTTAAAAGAGGCAACCACACTCGAGCCCATGTAGCTCTAATTTATTCAATTATCATGTAATGGAGGGAAATTATCTCCATTGTATGGCCTCAGTCTTAACAACTGTCAACAATTTCGGCCGTTAAAATGGCAATACATGCGATGAATACTTGAGAAATAGAAAGAAAATCCCTAATAAGATGACATGAGTCCATTTGTTTAAATATTTATCAAAATACAACGATACCCCTGAACTAAAGGATTCAAACAAAGATTGTAGGGACCTGCACCTCCATGAAACCACTATTGTCTTCACTTAAATTAGCAAAAGAAAAATTATTATAATTGCTTTCAAAATCTCCAAAGGCCCCAACAAACATTATTTCTAAGAAATGACCATGTCATAGTATTTTAAAGAAACTCAGAGAGAGAGAGAGAGAGTCCGTACACAGTAGCCAGAAGTGAAAGAACAAGTAGCTGCAACAATGGTGCTAAAAACAAGAAAACCTGTGGCACTAGAGTTTCTGTCAACACCGCCGTTGCTACTTTGATGATAGTGAGGATCTTCTTGATTAGCAACCAGCAGAGGCCTTCTTGCTTGCTCAGATTCCCCCATAAATATCTTCTTGTTGGCAAGTGCTCTGAATGGGAGCAGTGCAAGAACAATACGAGCCGAGGCTTTCAGATAAGGGTGAAAGAGAGAGAGACTCCTTGCCCATCCAAGTTTAAGAAAAGACAGTGGTGATCGCTAATATATGGTCCATCCATGGACATAGCAATGTCCAGGAGCGCAGATGGAGTTATTTGTTAAGGTGTTTTTTATATATATATTAAAGTAATATTTTTTTATTTTTTAAAATTTATTTTTAATATAGCGTATAAAAAAATATAAAAATAAAATCTGTCGACTCGTAATTTCAGAAATCTAAATAAGACACGGTTAAGTTAATTAAAAAAAAGATTGTTAAAAACTACGTTATTTAAATTAAAAAAATAAAAAATAAAATACTATTTTGATAAAATAACATTTTAAATAATATAAATATAGTTTGTCTTACAATATCTATTTTAATAAAAAAAAGTTATTTGAATAACTATTTATATTGGAATGAAAAAAATAAATATTTTATTATTTTGTTATTTGAATAACTATTTTATTGGAATAAAAAAAATAAATATTTTATTATTTTTTAATATGTTTAATGTTATTTTTTTTTATTTGTCTATATTTAATTAATTTATTTTTTTAGTGGTCACACTTTGTTGATTTTATTTTTTTGAAGAGATATGTAAAAATAGTATTTGTAAAAGAAAAAAATTATTTTAATTTTTTGTTTTACTTCTACATTAAAATATATAAAAAAATAAATAAAATAAAATATTAATTATTTTTTTTTAACTATTCATTTGAATTTTTAATTGGAGATGCTCTAATAACTGTTTTCTTCTCTGTTAGGTTGCGTGTCTCGTGTGATCTTTACATCCAAACTATTCTTAGAATTTGAAACTTTAATTAAAAATCATTCACCTGCTCCATCCTTGGTGGAAGGCATGGATTCCACGTGTGTTGCATAATAAATTCAGGTCGAAATGGATCCATGGAGCCGTGGAGGGGTGTAATTTGACCCAATATTCAAAGCTAAGGACCCAAATCAAAGCTTTTTTAAAACAAATGGATTGAATGTGACTCTTGTTAGGTTTTAGGGACTTGAAACCTCTATTTTACTGACTTAAATTAGAAACAAATTACTCTCCTTGCGGCCAAACCATCTGTCAAGCCCCCCCGACAAACATTATTTGAGAGAACTGATCACACGATAGTATTTTAAAAAGAAACTCAGAAATTGAGAGATGACTGTGGGAGAGCAGGCGTCCGTACGCAATTGCCAGAAGTTAAAGAACAAGTAGCTGCAACAATGGTGCTAAAAACAAGAAAACCCGTGGCACTAGGGTTAACGTCAGCACCACGGTTGCTACATTGATGATGATGATGATCAGCGACCAGGAAGGCCTCCTTGCTTGTTCAGACCTCCCCCAAAAAAAAAAAAAAATACGTTCTTGCTGGCAAGTAGACAGGCTGGGAGCAGTGCAAGGACAGTATGAGTAAAGGCTTTCAGAGGAGGGTGGGTGAGTGTGTGTGTGTGTGTGTGTGTGTGTGTGTGAGAGAGAGAGAGAGAGAGACGCTGTCTAGCTACGGGTGCTTCGAATGGACGCTGGTTCAGCTCTATCAAAGCATGGCTGCACCATGAAGAGGAAATTTCAAAAGAGAGTCTGGCGAACAAGGGGTCCATGTATATTAAATAGTATTGAATATGTGCCCATCCAACCAGTCAAATCAAACACTTATTGTGTAAGGAAGGAGCACCTCCTCACTCTTCTTCACCAAGGACTGGCTTGACTTGGTGTCATGCAGAGCACCTTTCCACCCTTGTTTTGCAACTCCTGCAACCATCTGCCACTCCTTTTTCAATAAAAAAATCACTGGATGGTTGCATAATCCTTCCATTTACACCTTCAGACTTAAGGTGTCTTTGCCTTTTGTTATTAGACGGTCTTTTCTTTGCTCCTCCTTTGAGAACTCGTCCTCTAATTGCACTTGTAGCGTCAGATGTACTCTCAACATGCCTGCATCTTGTCTCGTTTCACCTTTCTCTAGTGCTCGTGGGCAATCTTTGTTCACCTATTGCTCGCTTATGTCTGACAACAACAGCTCAGCTGTCACAGGATATCTCTTTGAGCTACAAATAGGATGCTACTATTCCACTCATTATTTTAGCTCTTTGCATCCACTGGGAACATGTGGAACTTGAGCATCCATCTGTCAATAACTTGCTAGTTGTGGGGATCCTTTCCGTATTGTATATATTCTTTTTCTTTTTAAATAAAATTGAGGTTATGCTCGTTTTGATTTACTCAAGTTAACTTGTATAAGCCGTAATTTGAGTTATGAGCCAAGTTCAATAACTTTAATCTAAATCCTTACCCCATCTTGCAAAATGAATCCAGAATAAAACAAATAGAATTAGATAATTTTTCATAATGAGTATTCCTTAAATTCTCGAAATAATAATAAGAATAATCATAACTTCTCAATCATCAGGTAAAGATTTTGAGCAATGACATCAAATCATTGGATTCTAGATATTTATTTGAATAATAACCACCTAACCACTCTTTTTTTTTTCAAAAAGATTTCATCGAGTAAGTAATTTTTATTTTTTTGACAATCAATAATTTTAATAAATTGTTCAAATATGATGCTAAAAATTATTGAGGAAAGAGAGAATTGTTCGAATCTGATCCTCAAAAGAAATATTTAGGAGAGAGCTACGAGCTAGAGAGTGTTTTAAATATGTGCATCAGGATTGAATATAGTTCAAATTTCGATTCAGATATCATAAAAATCATTACCAAATCATAATCATAAATATTTTTCAAATTTTATCTGAATCCAAACCAATACTATTTTTTTATTCAAAAGTATGAACAATTTGAATTTGACATCTTGACTCTTTAAAAGTATTTTTTTCAAATTCAACTAAAAAAACTAAAGAAATAACTTGAAACAACTAGGATGGGAACTGTCTCATCTTCATAATCAGTGGGATCGAAATTTGACTGATGTAAGAAAATGTGCAAAGAAAGAAAAATACATTTGTACTGTCATAAAGCCCTTAACCATCGCTGATTATTTTTCTACATGTATGTTTGTAAAGCAAGATGAGCGAAAAAAGTTCCAGTCCCACATTTGAAAACCATTGTAAATTTTTCAGAGAAAGAGTCAATAACCATCAACACCATGAAGGGAAAACCTCATTAATTGGTGATATTGTTGGGGGTCTAATTTCATTGCCATTTGCCTTTCATGTATTCCTATAAACTAATGAATAAAGGGATATCCACCTTAGTTACTGGGCTACCGGCAAACCTAGACCCTTGATAGCAGGACCTTATGCATTAAAAGAGGGCAGAAAGGATCATAGCCTCCAAAATTGTTCTGTTAAACTATATGCTTAACAACTCAAACTTGGAATTCATTCCTCAGCATAAGAAAAAAGTGGCATAAAAAAATCAACCATTGAAGGATAAAGCAGATCAGTCTGAGTTCCTTTTCATCAAGAAGCATATCTTGGACAAAATTAATTCTTAACTATCTTAGTATTGTTGTTCCAGAGATTCAAATTGCTAAGAGAGAACAGGGGGACAAAATATTTCTTAGCTCTGCACCACTAGTTAAGTAAAAACACAAAGGTATGGAAGGATTAGCAAGACCTTCAAGCAAAGCCAGGAGAACTAGATTGTGCTGCCCCATAACCTCCTCCTCCACGACCAAAGCCCGGCCTTCCACCAGAGCCCTGAAAGATCATAATAGAATTAGAAAAGTATGTGAAAAAATACTGATGGTGATTAAATAGGCATTAACAATTAGGGTTAGTGATGATGTGAAATTACCCTAAATGCAGGCTGGTAATCTGCTGGAGCTCCTCCCTTCTCACCACCTTCACCCCCTCGAGGGCCCCCTCGATAACCATCACGGTCACCAAATCTTGGGCGGTCTCCTTCAAAGCGAGGTGGGCCACTAGAAACAAAAGTAAACACCACATGTTAATTAGAGAATTCTAAAAAATCAATGAAAAGATCAGAAGACACTCAAAGAAAAGATAGGAAAACACTTAAAATCAGCAAATGGTCAGTATAATGTAAATTACCGGGGACGGTCACCAGGTGGGCCACCAAATGGCCGACCACCAGCAGGCTTTGCTTGTTTCTTCAAGGTGGCAGGAACAATTTCTGATGGAAGATTCAGGTATGTCCTCAAAAACTCAATCCCATCATTGGTAAGATACCAGTAGTAGTACATCCATGCAAATGTCTCACGAACATATTCCTTGGATTTGAAGCTCTGCATGAGCTTGATAACCTGGAGATTGGGAACATCAATCTCCGGGTGCTTTGCAAGGTTGAAATCCTTCTTTGCATAGCAAACTCCCTCTGCAGATTAAAGACAAAGTTAAAATAAAAGAATGCAGATAAGATATATGATAAGAATAACTTCCTTAGTCCCATTTGGTTGACTTGAAAAAAATATAAAATTCTCTGTTCAATTTAACTGATTGTAACCAAAAAATAAAATAAATCAAAACAGGCAGGGATCATTGGCAAAGATTCTCACTGTAGTTTTGCTTTTGTGTTCCAACTACTGGGGAAAAAAGAAGCAGCAAGAAACAAGGGTGTGGTTATCTCATAATCAGCACAACAATCTATCTGGTAAAAGTACATTAACATCAGCAGTTCAGTAGTGGCTTAGGTGTATTCTAAGCCTCCATAGAACAAATGAAAATGATTTTACTTATTTTTTCCATATCACTGGTTTTAAGCCACTACCAGAAGCTATAGCAGAAACCCATTAACTTAGCACCTATCCCCCAAATGGGGAAAATCTATTCAATAGAGATTGGAATATTAGTTGCATTGTCCAAACTATCCAACGCCATAAGAACAAGGAGAATACATTAAAAAAAATCCATTTGTTTGGAGGAAAAGAGATGCGCCCAGTGTTAAACACATCAAAAGGAAGTAAACGATGGGCCTTGCTTTGACATTATTTTCAATTTTTGCACAAGCAGCAAAGACCTTGTATGAATATATCCTGACGGAAGAATATATAAATGTGAGTTCACCTTACCACCACCACAGTTTCTCTAATCAAGTTGTCAACCTCTTTTAGTATCAATGCATAATATTCTGAATCCTTGTTACTAATGGAATCAAAATGATCGGAAGATTGATCAGAAGATCCCTTCAATTGGCTAGAATCCCTTCCTTGAAGGAAGCTAGCTCTTGTGGAATCATATTGAATACGTGACACTACATTCCATGCCTTGCTGAAAAACCTATCCCTGTTTACTAACCACACTTTGTCCAACCAAATACAATTCTCTCGATATGTTCCTTAAAAAATCTGATACATGCATATCATCCCCCAACTAAGGAAGAGGTCTTGGTGGAATTGCCACATATGAAATCGAGCACAATTTTGCAAAGAAATAGCGCATTTCTTTCTCGAGAACCATTGCACAACATAATGTTTTTATTTCAAGATTTACCAGCAAGCCTCAACAACTCAGCTTTCAAAAATCACAAGCAATGAAGAAACTAACTCAAGACATATTCGTAACCCGAGTTCTTCAAAAATTCATAGCCAAAGAAGATTCTAAAAATAAAATAAAAACTTAGAAAGACAAAGTATTGCCTGGTGGGTAAGCAACTGACAGTGGGATCGGAGGTGGAAAAACAGACGAAAAAACATGAAAAAATATATATAATACCTTGAAAGAGATACTTAGAGATTTCTCTTCTGTTCTTTTCTGGAATAATCTGAAGAAATCATCAAAAATAGAACAAGAAAACAGTAAGCAGCTAACTCACATTCGCATGTATGAGCTGATATGTTGAGAGAGCGAAGCAGAGAGGTTACCATGGTTGCGAAATTCAAGCCCCTTTCGTTTTTTGCAGCTGCGGAGATGAGAGAAGCTCTTCCTTTTCGTAGGGTAGAAAGCAGGGGACTTCGAAACCCTAGAGAAACGTTAAGTTCTGGGCTGGGTAGATGAATAGCCCTGATTGTTTTATTTATTTTTTAATGCGTGGGCTCATAATAAATCCAATCTTAGTTTCTTCCATCCTTTTTTAAAGAAATTGACATCGTTGAAGTTTTTTTTAAAAAAAAAAAAAAAAACAGAAGAAGAAGTTAGGATACGTGGTAGCGGTGCAACTGGTGCTCGGATTTTTATTACATTTTTATTTTTTATTTTCAATTAACTTTTTTATATTTTTAGATCTCAATGTAAAACTAAAATTTTAAAAATAAAAATAATATTATTTTAATATATTTTCAAGTAAAAAATACTTTAAAAAACTATTATTATCAATATCACAAACACCCTCTTAGTTACATCATGAATTCATATTTAAAAAAGAGATATATATAAAAAAATTTATCATTTATAAAAATAATAAGATTTTTTTATAATTAAATTTGGTTGAGTCAATTAAATCATTAAAAATTTTATCAAATTAATATCTTTTTCTTCAGCTTAAAATCATAATTTTTTTAAATCAAGTTTAAAATTAAATAAAAAAATTATTCAAATTAATAATATTAATACATTCATAAAAAATTTCTTTGGAGTTAACCAAAAAATGATGTTATATATACAGGTTTTTATGGTTGAATAAAAAAATATATATCATCATAACTAACATCTCCAAAATCCATGGTAGCACTTGGAAGGACACAAGCTGAAGTAAAACTTTAAAAATGTGTTTATTTAAAAAAGAGTATTAAATTATTTTTTAATAATTTTGATATAATGATTTTAAAAATAAAAAATAAAAATTTAAAAAATTATTTTTTATAAAATATCTTTACCGGAATAAGTAAAACGTTAATATATTTGCATAGGCTTAGCCATTGATTTTCGAGCAGTTTAGATAGGGTTACATGGCGCTGGATGTTGAAAGGCTTGGATCTCCCTTAAATAAAATTTGCTAATTGCAAAAGGTCTTCTAATTTGAACAAGTCTTGGTATTCAACATGAAGACCTTTGATACTAATTTCAGCACCATATATAGTAATACTAATACATAAGGGTTTGTTGTCTTGGAAAAGAAAGGACAGGGACAATCAAATACATGTTTCGTTATCTTTTCTATTTTAAAATAATATAAAAATATTTAAAAATTATTCTAATTAATAACAGATTTATTTATATACACATCTTTATCTCTCCAATTAAATATACGTTTATACTTTCTGTATCTGTTTTTTTTTTTTTTATCATGAAACACTCGCTCGTGACTCGCGAAAAAAAATGATGATCCCATTCCTCCAAACACGCGAAGGATGATTTAGTAGAAATTCAAACCATTAATTCAAAGCATGTATCTAAAAGTTTGTGGCAGTTTTCAGCATTGGATAGCATAATTAAAGAGAGAATAAAACTGGACTCATACTAAAGTTTCCTAGCATGTAAAACAATAAATGGAATGGGGAAGAAATACAAGAGATAGAAGCATGATCATTTCCTGTCATACAAGTTCTCTAGACCACTCAATCACAGTCATACGAAGCTATATATCTTGAAGATCTCTATTGTGTGACTGAAGAACTGAAATTATAGCTTGAGCTGATACTGCAAATTTCCATATTGGAGGCAGCAATGTATGGTTCAGGGTTTGAGGGAACAGGCGTGTTAGTTTCCAGCATATTCACAATCTGATCCATTGTTGGCCTAGCATGCAATACTGGATGAGCACAGATAAGAGCAACGTGCACATATCTTTCCATCACTTCTGGCAACCCCAGCTCAGGCAGGTTATCTTCGATGATATCCAATCCTCTCCCTTCCTTGGCGAGCGACCACGCCCAATCTGTCAAAAGAGAAACATTTCCCTCGTTGTTTTCACAAGCCTTTTTTCCACTCAGAAGCTCAAGAAGCACAACTCCGAAGCTGTAGACATCGCTTCTTTCGGTTAAAGTCCCATACAAGGCATACTCCGGGGCGACGTAGCCGAGAGTCCCGGCAACTCTTGTGCTCAAATGTGTCATTCCCTGTGAATTGAACCTTGCAAGGCCAAAATCTGCAACTTTTGCCTCGAAGTTGGCATCCAAAAGTATATTGCTAGCTTTAATATCCCTGTGGATGATTGCTGGATGCACCCCATAGTGTAAATAAGCCAAACCCCGTGCGGTTCCGAGGGCGATCTTCTGACGAATCGGCCAGCTAAGTTTCATTTTTCCTGATTCAAAAAGATGGTTGTAGAGACTTCCATTATGCATCAAATCGCACACAATGATCCTTTGATGAGCTTCTGGAGGAACTTTTGTGGTGCAATAGCCTCTTAAAGCAACAAGATTGACATGCCTCACACTGGCTATGATTTCCACTTCGTGTGCAAAAGTTGCATCGCCACTACCAGAACAGTTCTTGAACCTCTTGAATGCAACTTCAGACCCATCCGGTAACATCCCTTTGTAAACATTCCCATAACCTCCTTTGCCAATAATATTATGTCTAGAGAAATTCATTGTTGCCTTCGTGATTTCCTCGATTTTGAATTTGACTATATTAGTGCTTCTAATGTGCAATCCAAACCCAAGATCCAAACTAGCGTCCTCTAGATCTGGACTGATCTTTTCCTTGTCACTTTTCCCGTGTAGCTTCCAGCGTAAGCACACTGCAATAAAGCTCCCCAAGACACCAAACACGGAACCCACAGCAATGCCAGCAATCACAGCCTTGTGATGCTTAGTGGTGGTGGACTTCACTGAATACTTAAGCCTGAACAAGCACTTTGCAGTTCCGGGGTCTGTTGGTCCCAACAGATTAATAATGGCTGCTGCATACATAGACAGATAGCCAGAACAATCTGAGGCATTCACAGGTTGAGGATCACGAAGATACAGATCCCCAAGACTCAACAATTTCTTGGTACAAGAACCACAAGCAAGGTCATCATCCAGAGATCGATTACAATAAAGCTTCATCTCTTGCAACTTGGACTCGGGAAATTTGATCTCAAACTGTGCCACAGATGTAATATTCATACATTCCTTTGAAATCCATCCAGCCTGATAACCACAGCCAGACTGGATATCAAGACCATCTGAAACCTCGCGAATCACTCTCCGATATGATTGCCAACATGCCTGAATTGTATCAGGAGGAGATCTGACACCTCGCGAATCACGTTCCGATATGAGTTCCAACATGCCTGAATTGTATCAGGAGGAGGAAAAAAGGACCTGGTGGTTCGCAGATATTCTGACCGAACAAAACGAATTCCATCAGGAACGAATTGACATTGATTAGGCAGATCAATAAATGAATGTTTCGGACGAGCTTTACTGACTAATTCACGAATGACACTGTAGTTTAATGGGCAAGAGGCTTCAAAAAGGTTTCTGTTTGAGATTTCCCGGCAATTAGCAATTTGAAAACAGAATTCTGAAAGGGCTAAGAGCAGGACTAATTGAAAAACCTTGAACTGAAAGAGGAACATGTCTGAGTTATGGTTTCATAGGATCTGAAAACCATGATTCCAACCTTAACTTTCATGGAGATGGATAATCATAACCTTAAATCTACCTTTGTCAATGTCTAAGCATCAATGACCTTTGTTGGCAGTCAGTGATTGGGCGGCAAGAGATAGAACGAGTCTTCAACTTATTCTTTAAGCGAGGATTACCTCATTTGTCTATGCTGATGTTGATTCCCTAACAACTGCATTCTTTGTAGCCCGTGTGACTACACAGGATACTAATTTAACATATGGTTTTTAACACTTAGCTATCAACATGGAACCTTTTAAAACTATGAAATGAAAATTTTGAATCAGTCTATGAAGATACCTAGAGGGACAATCTTTATATACTGGCATACAGTTAATTTATATTACAACTTTTAATTATAGGGTATTTAGGTTGTGAAGTTTAGCTTAGATGATTTTTATATTATAGTTATTAAAGCGATTTACTGTTTAATTTAAAAGGCATACGAGAATGTGGTGTAAAATATATTTTAAAAATTTTATTTTTTTTTGCTAAAAATAAAAAAAATTTGTATGTTTTGATTTATTTTGATGCGATAATTTTAAAAATAATTTTTAAAAAATAAAAAATATTATTTTTATATATTTTAACATGAAAAATATTTTAAAAAGTAATCACAAATATAACCACACTCCCAGCAAACTTAGATGTACCACAAAACTTGATTTAAGCTGGATTTTTTTTTGAATTTGATTGATTCAATTAAAATTAGGTTTAGTCAAATTTAATGAGTTTTAATTTTTATCTAAAATAACATCATTTATTTAATTTAAAACATTATTATTTTTATATCAAGAGCCCAAACAAGGTCCAACAACTATGCTTTGGACTACTATGCTCCAATAAAACAAAGTCGGATGCTATGAAACCAAATAGCAAATACAAGAAGACAATCATCTTTTATTTATCTTATTGGACACTGAAATTATACTTGAAATCCATGAATAGTACATGTCATCTTCTTTGTACATGACTATTGTTACGAGGTTTCAACATACCATCTTGCAAGGATGACCTGAGCTAAGTTTTGAATTGAATTAAAAACAATATTGTTTTAATAAAATTCAGTTGATCCAGCTAGACATGATCTAGATCCAACCAAATCAATTCTAATTTTTTTATATTACTTTAAAAAATAATTGATTCAAGTTAATTTAATTCAATAATTCCTAGCCTTTTTCAAGTCATCCGATCCGACAACTAGGATAAATTACTCAACTTTCAGAACCAGGAACAGACTAGAATTCCCACAGAAGGTATTCAACAGAAAGAAATGATGATGAATGCCGGCCCAACAAAAAAAATGGCGAAGGTCAAGGTCCCATGAGAATGAAATTGTTCCATGGGGAACTCGAGTTCTGGAAACATAATAAAATTGGAACCAAAACGCGGTCAAACACGCCAAAAATCTGATTTTTAAGCAACATTCATGACTTTCTTCACACCCTACAGTTACTTTTGGAGGAGACTAGCATCCTTGAAGTTGAAGTATTCATACCTGA